TCACTTTTTGATTGAGAAGAGATCAAATGACGATGTTTTGGAAAGGGTTGGAGAAAGAAGTCTGTTGAAAGGAAATAGAGAGTAGATTATAAATAATACGTGGGGCGCCGGGCGCACTATAAGTTTCCGGAATGAATAAGAAAAATATACCATAAATGGTCAGAAATGAATTTATTGTTTCGTAAAATATTCTCCGTAAGCGTTAATACACTTTTTCATACGAATGAACCAATTTTGAAAACGTTTATGCCACTCCTTCGTGACAATCTCTGAAACATATTTTTCATACTCTTGGACAGCCTCTTCAGAGGATGAAAATCGTTGACCGCGTAACTGGTTCTTAATTTTTGGAAATAAATAAAAGTCACAAGGTGCCAGGTCGGGACTGTACGCGGGATGGCTCAAAAGATCAACGTTGTTCACCTTCAAAAATTCATTTGTCTGTCTGGCCATGTGACAACTGGCATTATCGTGGTGCAAGATGATACGGCGTTTACGGTTATTTTTACGGAGTTTGTCAATAACTTCCGGCAAACAAATGGTCGTGTAGCAATCACTATTCACAGTACGATTCTCCAAAATAACAGTAGCCACGTGTCCAGTTTTATTAAAAGAAGCAATCATCCGCTTAGGGGCACTTTGCACGCGCGCCACTTTGGTTGGTTTCGTCTCATCTCGAAAGACCCATACGCTCGATTGCTGCTTTGTTTTGGGATCGTAACTATAAATCCATGTTTCGTCACCTGTTACTACGTCACACACCAAATTTGACGTCCCTCCGTTGAATCTGGTAAGCATGGCATTGCACCAAGTGACGCGATCCGTTTTTTGAGCCTCTGTCAAATTGTGTGGGATCCACCGAGAGCACAGCTTTTTCACACCCAAATGTTTGTGTAGTATTCATTGTATTTGACTCATGCCTAAGCGTAAAGATGCCCGAATCTCATGGTATGTCACATGTCTGTCTGTTTTGAACATACGGCGCACAGCATCGATGTTTTTGTTGTTCACAGCAGTGGACGGGCGACCATCACGAAATTCGTCACAGAGATTCACACAACCGCGTTTGAATTCTGCAAACCAGCTATGTTGTAATTACTTTTTAAATATTGTTTATTTGAGTGTTCAGTTCCGGAAACTTATAGTGCGCCCTATGTATCAAGTGTCTACACGCCTGTCCATAACAGTTGCAGTGCCGCTCAGAGCTTTAAATCATAAAGATCTTACTGCATTTGTGCCCGTTACCCTGAAACATATATTGACAAGTCCCTTGTGCTCTTCAAAACCGGAACACAGTAATGCTGACATTACCGCTTGGCGGCAGACATAAGTAAGCTGGCAGTACTGCCCTGAGCGAATTCTTTCACAAGGAGGACTACTGCAAACTATTTGTTATTCGCAGACTTTCCTATTTTTGTTTTATGTAAAACGGGATTTATTAATTAGTCTGCAATGTATTCGACATTATTTTTGTAAATATTATTGCATTCGTTTGTTGCAACCTGTAAAAATCTTTAATTTACTTATTGACTGTCGACTCTTGGTTGTTTGCAGACTTTAAAAAGTGGATGTTCACAACTCGACTATTTTTTTTTTTGTATGTATGTTACGCGATAACTCCGCATCATTTGTGAACCGATTTTGATGATTCTTTTTTTGTTCGAAAGAGGGTACATCAGTTGGTCCCATTTAAATTTGAAGAAAACATTCCAACTTTAAGGGTGGGAAACTAGGGGATGAATCCGGTTTCACGCATTTTCCGGTAACCGATTTCAATAAAACTTTGCAAATAGATGTAATTCCATGAACTTTGAGATCGGTTTTTTAGTACTCTGAACTGAGATATTGAAATTAAATTTTCGTTTTCTTGGCAAACGAAATTTAAAAATGTAGCGACACGACGCCCATATATGAAACCCAATCAACCTCGGGTTTTAGCCGAGTTTTTACCCAGATTCTAACCCATTTCTGCCCAAAATCGCCGTTGCTGTGCGAATACGGAGTTTTGTATAATTCAATAAATAGTATTATTGGATTCTCATTATTAAGGATGCACATTATAATTCGATTCTTAAGAAAATCGAGTCAAGTGCATATGATCTAACGATTTTTTGTGTCGATTTATTTCAATGCGATTCTCAAGCGAATTCATTCAATTGAAATACAGACAGTTGCTTCAGCTGTACCAGCACAAGTCCGGTCGTGTATGGAGTACTGCTGTTACTTATGAGATGGCTCTGCTAAATACCAAGTGGCCACCTTGGATTCAATCGACAAGCGTGCTAAAAGGCTTATAGGTGACTCGGAATTAGTTGAGACGAAGCTGCAGAACCTTGAACACCGCCGTTAAGTTGCCTGCTTATTGGTATTCTACAGGGTATATCACGGGAAGTGTGCGATGGATTTGCATAATTTGATTCCGCCTTCCCCTTTCCATCATCCAGGGACTAGACGTGGGCTGGGATTCCACCCCTATGTTGTGGATATTCCCAGGATTCGCACGAAACGTTTCGCTTCCACATTTATATGGCGAGCGGCTAGAGAGTGGAATTCCCTGCCTGCTACCGACGTATTCCCCGAACTCCATAACTTGGACCTTTTCAAAGCGAGAGTGAATAGGCATTATTTAGGTATGCGTGCTACATCGTCGACCTCATCATCACTTTCCATCAGGTGGGATGGAGGTCAAATGCGCACTTGTTAATTTAAAAAAAATGCAAATGGAATATCAGAAAGCAATAAGCATTTTGTACTCGTAATAATATCATTCAATATGAACAAAACTCGATTTAAATGATTATCACTAGTAACAGGTTTCTTACCACGGTATAACTTCTTTTTATTTTCCCGATATTTCGGAACGGTTGCACGCTCCATGGTCACGGGTTGACAACCTGTTACTAGTGATAATCATTTAGTGAATAACCACGAAAGTCTTAAAATCTATAAAACTCGATTTACAACAAATATTTAGTTGTAAATTGGTTTTGCCCTCGATTTTGGGCGTTAATGTGTTGACTCATATGTATAGGAATTTAACACGGCGTTAAAACTCGCCTATTTCTGGTCAAGCCCACTTCGTTGTCAAATCGCAAAACATGAGTTAAAATCCGTGCCGTGCTTTGTCGTGACGCTTACTATATTGTACTGTACTACCGGGGTTGCCAAGTTAGACTTCTTTTTAGGGCAGACGTTTGCGACGTCTCAGTCAGAGTTGTTTTGATGCACAGAAATAAATCTATATAGAACGGCGATGTGGGCGGGTCATGCGTGGCAAAATTTTGACGTATCATCAAGATATTCCGAACGCTCCCTCAGTACGCATCGCAACTTGCTATGCACTTGAAATAAAATTCCATGTAAAATGTCATGTTGTTCTGTTTCTAACTGCCTAAATAAAAGTGCGAGTTTCAGTCAGTCAAAAGGAGGCATGTCTTTAACGGTTAAGTAATTTTCAATACGTTAAATCCTGTTAAAATAAAATAAACACGAGAAAAGCGCAAAATAATTGACCTTTTCATTACAATGACAATATAGCTAAAACCTAAGAACTCGAACTATAACTGACTACCTAAATATACCTGTTGCATCACAAATTTACCAGATGTGCATCAAATGCCTCAATGTACCTAAGTTTGATAATATGTATGGAAAACATCAATTGAAATATACAATTCCATCTTTGATTAATAAGCTCCCAAATAATTTAAAGAATAAGATCAATGATAAAAATATCAAATTTGTACTCAAAAGTTATCTTCTAGGTTTACCTAACATAACAGAATAGTAAATATATATATATAATAACATAGTCTTTATAGTATTTTTATGTAGGGTCAAGTGGTTGTCAGTGGATCACTTTTTTGTGGCCATCGATAACTCTGAAACTATCAGTCAGAATTACTTAAAAATTGGTTGATGTATAGTGTAATTATCGAACTCTCGATACGAATAGTAATTTTAAGACCCGTCATTTAAATTAACAGCGGAAAGCGCCCTTTTTTTAAAAAAAAAAATTGATCCACTGTGTGCAAGGGTGTATGCAGACTGGATCACCTCATGGTCTACAGTAGATCATAGAGTTATTCATAGGAAATGAAACACATTTCATACTCGAATCAACTTATTATATTAACCATTAACAAAAATAAAACAATCTGATGTTTCTCTTCTCGTAACTTATAACACCCAGAACAAACAAAATTTAAATATATTATTCCCTTTACAGTGTGCCTACATAATTATTAGTTTTTCTTTTTAATTTGTGTTTATTATTATATTATATCACTGAATAATATCATTTAAGCAAATGTGAAAATACAGTGACTTCTTCATAATCGTAATTAAAATAACAACTTCAAACTAATGAACTCGTGAGTTTTGTTAAGGTGCCGCTTTAATGAAGTATCTTATTATTAGAGATAATAAAGGTAAAGGAAATCTGATGAGTTATTGTTAAGGTGCTGTGCTTACTAAATATCTTAATATTAGAGATAAAGGAACTTTTATGTCAGTCAGTAGCTACAGCCAGTGCTAATCTAGTTTATCCATTAAAAATATTTAAAAATTAATAAAGGTTGGGACATTTTGCTATGCGCTTCATATTTATTTGTGTAGCATCATGAGATAGATAGATGGCTGTTGTAACTTAAAGTTAACATATGTAATAGTTAATATCACAATCATTTTTGCTTAGGTACTTAGTACTTGCATAAGTCTTTCGTTTAGGTAATTTAAAAATAATTTTTCACAAAGTTAAAAATAAATTTACGAGGTTGTATTTGGTATGCCTTACATACGATAAAAATTATCATCATCGTAAATTATGTTTATCTATTCAGTCTCACTTTTTGTACCTTAGTACCTACAGTCACATCAATCTTGTTGACACTTTGGATTTAACCGCTTTAGAGTTGAATTTAAATCTTAAGTGTCAAGCTTGACGTGCTCACTGTACCAAAGAAATTTATTCTCATTATTTAGAAATACTACCTAAATAATCAGCGGATGTTAAGACCATTGAGGTTAACACCAAAAGTAAGGTAAGACTGCTGCCGAGCAGTACTACCATTTAAGGTAGGGTTTGGCAGTATCATCTTTATATTATCTTCTTTAACATAAGCCAAGTCTGGGGCGTTTGGCATTGTGAATTGCCCTTTTCTGTACCGCAAATAACTTACGTAGAATTCAAGCTCATTGTTCCTTTCTTCTAACACTTTGGCGACATAAAACACTTGCTGTTTTTTTGACGCGAATTGGACCACAACATATTGTCCCTCTCTTGGCAATTCTGTTAAAGGATTCACCAGCAACTCTTCTGTTATAATGTTTTCTTGGTTTTCTTCATCGTCCAACCAATTATCATCATCTGCTGAGTCATCGCCTAACATAACTTCACCATCTTCTTCAGAATCACTCTTTAAAACTTTTCGAACATACTTTTTGCCTTTGGCTTTACGCTCTTTCTTCCTTTTAATAGCTTTTTTGTAGCTCTTGATCTCCTCCTTTTCTGGCGTATCAGTTGCAATAAGGCTTCTCCCCAATCTCCTCGGCTTCCGTTTTCCACTTCTTGCTGCCGCTTTGAAAGGCTTTCGAAACTGTTCTGGCGTAACAAGCGGTGTAGGTGTGAAGATTTTGGAAGTCGCAGATGAGCTGACGCAGGTGTTTCCAGATGTTAATCTATTTGTTGAAGATTGAGCAGCTTGAAGATTAGACAGAGGTAGGGGAATGGAAAGTAAATTGACTTGTGAGATTTCATCAGTAGACGGTAATCCAACAAACTCTGCAACGGCTTCTTCAGTTGGTACAGTCGATTGGTGTTCAATGGATTCTAGGAGGGCGTCTATTATAGAAGGACTTGGAGTATCTACATCCCGGCGTGACCAAATATCTGATATTTCAGTTGAAACATTTCTCTCGTCTTCATCGATTGTCACTTCATTGGAAGCTTTCAGTTCGTCGCCTCTAATGGTAGAAGGGCCTGCAAAATAGTAAGTACCTATTATAAGTATAAGATAGCCATGGTGGCCCTGAAAGAAAGTTTCTGAATAGATAGGTATACGTACGGAGTATTAATAAGGTTATTTGTTTAATTACTGTAGGTACCTGCTATCTCCAGAACTTCAGGCCTGTCGGTCACACTGCTCGGCATAAAATCGTCTTCTGAGAATATATGTCTATCGAACGGATATATTCCGGTTTTCATGAATGATTTCCGTATGTTTACCGGCGTCATAGACTTTTCGAAAGCCTGTCCTATAAGACTGCCAACGTCATAAATAGTGACAGGATGCCCAGGATTACGCATCATCCACGACTCCATTGCCGACGCATAAAAAGTTTTGAATTGTGCGTAAATGCCAACATCCAGAGGCTGAAGTTTTGCCGAAGTGTGTGGGTGTAATGTCAGCAAAGTAACGCCGGATTCCTTAGCTAAATCGAGAACTTCGATTGAAAGGTGAGACTCATGGTTGTCCATGATTAGAATTGATGGGAAATTCTTTGAAGATGCCGACCGTTGTATAAAGTGCTTCATCACCTCTACAAACAGTTCGCTGTTCATCCAACCAGACGGTGATGCTAAAATTAACGAGCCGGGAGGTGTTCCTATTTTCATGCGAGGGTTTATGTTCTTTCTCGGGAACACTATAGCGGGAGGAAGCGCCTGTCCTCCAGCACCTATAATGTTACACGTTGTGACCAGCGTTCCTTTTTCGCCACTAGAAACTTTGCATATGTTCCTTCTTCCCTTTGGAGCCATAACTTTAGGATTTTTCTGCACAGTGGACGTCGCGGTCTCATCCAAATTAAAAATGCGAGTGCCATCAGCGAAGGCAGGGTTGCGACTAATCACATTTTCCAGGTTGTCAAAAAATTTTTTGACAGTTTCCTTATTGAAAGCCGTGGCTCTCGCTAAACTGCAATTTTCTGGTTTGCGGAGTGACATATCCGGGAATCGTTCCCGAAATCCTCTGAGCCAGTCTAGTCCAGCCATTTTATCTCGTTCCCAATTAACAGGAACGCTCACATTATTGTGCTTTGCCATCTCGTAAGCTACTTTACGGCAATCTTTAGAAGTCAAACCATAAAATAGCAACGTGCACTTTTCAAAATAATCGCGTAAGGCCTGTTCTTGCTCATTCGTGAATGTTTTTCTCACCGAGTAGTTAGGTGTTAACCGAATGGGATTCCCATTATCATTTACCACCTAAAAAAGTACAATTTATTCATATAGGAAGCAAGGCATAAAAATACAATAAAAGCTAAATACTAAAGTTAGGACTAAATTACATTATTTACCTCCTTGCTTCGGTATCTTTGTAAAGTAGTGAAAGGAATATTGAATTCTTTGGAGACGTGCCTAATACTTTTCCCACTTTGAATAGCATCTAAAGCCTTTCTCATTTGGTCATCCGTATGATTACCAATTTTTCTCGCTTGGTTAGCTGCTTTCTTTCTCACCATTCTGTAATCAGAATATAGGTATTTTACTTCTATTTCATTAATAAATAAACAGCAAAAATTATACATAAATGCATTCGTTAGACGGTATTTCGCTTAATTATTATTGCATAGAATATACATAGCTAATGGATTTTTTTAATTTGATGATGCATCGCCTTAAGTGATATCGTCAATATAATGGATCTGGTACTCAGTGGATCGTGACCTACTGAGTACCTGATCCACTATATCCACTGTTGACCAAAGCCCCGTTTTAAAAAAGTATCAAGCAATCACGTGTCAAAAACAGAGATTTTACAGTTTTGTTTACCTTATAATAAAGCACAATAACAAACTCTAATAGTAGCATTGTAATATTTCGAAAATTTATGGTAATTTGAAAAATACAAACAAAAAAGTAACTTACTTTTGCAAATAATTCGCACACGTTGCACTAAAATAAATTAAAACACGTTGATACTTCAACACAGTCGCGCGTGCACTGGCTGAAAAAGTGTTGCGCGCGGGGGGGGTATCAGACTTGTAAGACATGGCGGGTATCTCTACTAGTTTCGTCAATGTGAGCCTGATCCACTTCGCCCCACCGATTCACTGTCAACCACTTGACCCTACGCACCATTTAGCATAACCTCACTATATTTAGAAATATACCCACATATACCATTGTATAAAAACTTATAATTCACTCCTAACAGTAACAAATGAAAAATCTTACCAGTCTGTATAAAAGTTTTTTGTGTATCTATTATTGGTTTATACCGCCTTTTGTGTCGAATATTCCATGAGCGGGGCCAATGCGCAGTGACTTCACAGCGTTCGTCAGCTGTTAATGCGCAGCAATACATTGTTTGTCAGGCCAGTGGTGCTGGTTTGCGCCTAACCATTAATACGTAATATATTAATGATTAGGCTTCTGTGTCTGCTTTCTCTTCTGAAATACGTTTTTGAAATTGTGTGTAGATGACGACTGCACAATGTGCGAAAAATCTGTATGGGTAAATGTAAGTAGGTAAATTGAAGAGTGTAATAATAATAAAAATAATAATAATAAAAGCTAAACTCAAATTTCATTGCGTGCTAGACAAATTGCATGCTGCGATCAACAAGTTAAGTTAAGCTTTTAACAAGTTAAGTTTATAGTATATAGTTTAGTATATAGTTACATCTACTCTCGCGCATGACGTCGCGGAATGGCACGTGTAGTAGTAGTAAATGTAGTGTGGTAGTCATGTAGTAAAGATAATTTATGCATTTTTCGACTATAGTTTTGCACACTAACCGCACGCTCAAACCTGCCTATTCACTACTTATACGCGTCAGAAAATGTGAAATATATGTAGTGAATAGGCAGGTTTAGTATGCAAATCTATAGAAGATAGGTCTAATAATACGTCTGTAGTGATTACAAGACTGGATCGACTAAGACTTTGTTATGATGGAGTACTTAAGATATGGTCCACGGAGTATAATCCCACAATCAATCACAAAAAAACACATTTTATTTTTTCCTACTAAACTCTTAGATTTATGGCACAATGAGATATGACAATATTTAATTACGACAATAGGACCATTCGATTGGCATTTTTTTAGAGAGGTATCGTGAAAAAAATCCAATGCCCGCAAATTTCTGATCCGACCCACTGTCGCAAAGTTAAGATAAATATAGTGGACCTGGCTGTCCCCAATTACGTCAATTTTTAATGTTCTTAAATGATTTCCCGAATCCCGACCAGGTCCAGGATCTAAAAATTATTGTCGTAAGGCAGTCTCTATTTTCTGTCTGTTCCTTGAAGTTTAGGTAAAAAAACTACCTATTCCGATGCCAAGGTCACGTAGTGGACAAAGTTTTTCAAAAAGAAGACACGCTTGATCCCTAAAAAGAAGTGCAAAGTCGCCGTTCTACTTAGATTTCCTTTATTTTTTTCCATCCTCTACGATTTAGATTTTTAGATTTATTTATTTCTATATTAAAATCCATATCGTGGGTTGTAAAGACGTCTACTGTCTACTATGAACCAGTGTTGCCAAGTTGGATTTTTTAGGCTATTTCTAATATTGGGTACTCGAAAGAAAGAAAAGAAGGGTAGTTTCCGAAAAATTTCAATAGTGGACATTTTTTCAGAAAAGCTCCCGAATAGTTGTGAGCATTACTGCGTTCTGGTTTTGAAGGGTACGGGTGCTGCACAGACGTGTAGCATACCATTAGGCGCTCGACTTGTTTGTCTGTCACTTGATGTTAGAAAAAAATTATAGGTATTGAATTTTTAAGGAATTGTGGTTGAATATATTGGCAACACTGATAACTGTCAAAATTATTTATGGACGACAAAATCACCAACGCTGAACTGACAAACAAGCGCTCTAAAAAAAATGAAATTTAAAGGGGTATCCCCAGTGCGGAATCTATATTTATCATTATTGTTTGAAGTTTAACTTACAGTATTTGTGAAGTGAAGCTAGTGAGCAGATAGGAAAATTCTTGAATAAACAACATTGTGCGATATAAATGTGCGACGCATGGTGTTATTTAAGAGGTTTGTTAACATGCTCTTACGAAACGTAAAAACTGTTAAATTTCTATAATTTATTTGTTATATATTTGAGAAGTTTATGAGAAAATGTCGAACCAAACACGCGTAGAAAAACAAGTAGCGATAGAAGGAAGCGAAAAATTCGTTATAGCACCACGAATGACCGTCGTGCCTAAGTTCCTCGGGAAATCTCAACAAAAGATGCCTATTTTCATAACAAAGAATAATAAAATTACTTTAATTGAAGGACAAAAAGCCAGCAAACTGTTTCTTAAAAGCGTACAACCAACAAAGAATGCTTACAAAAACCAATTGGCCTTCAGAGAAGATATCATATATCGTTCTACAGAAGGTGATTTTTTGAGAGGGAATCCCCAACAAAATGTCGTTATAATGAACCGGTTGGACTTAACAAATAACAGCTGTAGGACGATAGCCCAATTTATAAATCAGTCCGACAAGAGCGTTGTATATGAAAAGACATCTGATGCTGTAACGGAACTTATTGGGCAAGATAGTTTTGACACAGTTCTATCAGCACTGGTTTCGGTCATAAACCAAGAGTTGAAAGTAAAGGGAATAATGGGTCTCCTTGTGGAGGACAAACCTGAATCCTTACCTAAAGAAAAACAGAAAACGTTTGCTGAGAAATGCTGCCAAACGGACGTGAACTGTATGGAGCTTATATACAGAATAAAGCAGAAGAAAAGAATTAAAAGGACTCAGTTAATACCTTATGTTGTTAAAGATAGTCCAATGGAGAAAAAAAGAGTTGTCATACACCCTGATAATGCGAAAATAACAGACAACACAGAAGACATGGAAACAATGGAGAAATGTTCAGAAAATCGAGAAAAGGACTTACCAGACATAAGGTCATTTAATGAAGACAGCAATGCTAGCACAAGCACAGTTGGCAACATATCTACATTATCAGGCATTACTACGAATTTTAAGTTTAATAATTTACTTGACAATCCAACAGAAATTTTTAAACAAATTGATCAGTGCACAGCAACGGGTGATAACAAGATAAAACCGGTTCAAACTCAGGAGTCATTACAACAGTCTCAACAGAGTCTACAAAACTCCCGTCTGAATAATTCTGACTCAACAAAATTATCATTAACTCAACAAACAATAGTTGAAAATGCAACAAAGGTGCAACAGTTAAGTCCACAAAGATTAACAACTGTACATCAAAGGGTTCAAGAAAAATTTAACCCAGCGTGTATAACAATGTTAGATGGAACTCAGATTATGGTGCCAGTGAAGCCTGAAGATCATTTTCACATAGCTACACCGGAGATATTAAAAAATGTTACATTGGACGAGAGAAAGAAGTTGCTGTGGTACCAAGCGTACATAGACTGGAAACTCTGTTTACAACGTGATGAAGATGATAACTTGTAAGTATTTTTATATGTACATTAGAATAGCAACAGGTCTGTAGCCTGCCTATATATGTTCATTGGTTTCATTCAGTAATTTTTTGAACTAGGACAGTATTTGTTTCTACATGCGAGTTAAGGCTGCTATTTAAGTATTATCTGATGAATAAGATTAAATCGCTAAATGAGAAGGTCACGACTTCGATTCCCATAGGACCAACTTGGGGAATAACTTTTCAATTTAGTTCAGGTGTGGGTTTTCAATAGTGAATTTTTTACACTAGTACTTATTGTACTGCAGGGTATTCCCTAAGCAAATTAAATACATATATTTAGTTTAGAAATACAAACACATGACAAGATATATAACGGTGACGAGGGGAACAAGTCGTGCGCCGGGTGGTAAGCGACACGCCTGTCCGTAACACAGTGCCACTCAGAGCCTTAGAATACAAAAATCTGAAGGGCATTGCCACTGCGCCCTGAGACATACGTTGGTAAATCTCGTGTACTTGTAATTTCACTACAACAGTAATGCTCACATTACAACTTGGCGGCGGAAATAGGTAAGGTGGCAATACTTCCCTGGACGAACAGTTTCACGAGAGAGCTCTTCTGCCAGAAAAATGGTTTTTATTATACGGTCTTTTGGAAAGTAAGTTAGTTTTACGAGCTTAAAATCGTGTAAATTTGTTTTCTCAAACAAACGCAACATTTCTTGATCTTTAGAAATCACGAATTAGATCTGAAATAATTATAATTGTTGTAAAATAAAACCGTACACTCGGACCACTACTAAGGTACCCCCTTTGAAACAAAAAATAATCATCGAAATCGGTCCACAAATGCCGGAGTTATCGCGTAACATACACACACACGTTATACATTTTTGGAGTCGGTTAAAAATAGTTTAATTTCCAATGTATAGTACTCGCGAAAACTTTAAAACTATGTATTATGGCATCTCCTTTATTAACAACCCTTCTGACGCAGTCGGGTAAAAAGACTCGTGCCTAACAGTGGAACTATTATGTGCCCGTATATGCGACACCCTGATTAACCATTACTGAAACTCCTTGGTTTTGTAATTTTAAGAAAAAAGATAAGCAATTTGTTTCGTCCTTTTGCATTTTACTCACATAAAACTTGAACGTATTTAGGTAAATATACCTGTTAGTTATCGGGGAATCCCCACAAGTTATTGCGGTTAAAGTTAACTTCGCGAAAACGAAAGTCTTTTTTAACCGACTTAAAAAAAGAGGAGGTTCTCAACTCGTATGTTACGCGATAACTTGCGCATTTGTGAATCGATTTTGCGATTCTTTTTTTGTTAGAAATAGGGTACCTCATTATTGACCCCATTTAATTTTGAAGGACATATTCCATCTCTAAGGGTGGGGCGAACTAGGGGATGAATCCGGTTTCGCGCACTTTCCGGTAGTCGATTCCAATAAAATTTGGCAAATAGATTCCACGAATTTTTGATGTCGACTTTTTTTATAAAAAAGTTATTTTACAAGTCGTGCACTTGGTAGTAAGCGACACGCCTGTCCATAGCAGTTGCAGCGTCACTCTGAGCTTTAAATCTCAAAGATCTGAGGGGCACTGCCACTGCTCTCGTCAACCTGAGACATAAGTTGACAAGTCCCATGTGCCTAAAATTTCACTAGCAACGCATAGTACTCACATTACCGCTTGGTAGCAAAACGTCTCAGGACGACCTCTTTCACAAACAACTTTCTGGAATGAACTATATGATCCTAAACACAAGGCCATTTCCATCATCAGGTCAGCTCTAGGCCACCGCAACATTTTATATTCATTGGAATGATATCTATGCGCCAAGTTTTATTGAAATTGTTTAATAGGAAGAACTTCAAAATTTTAATGGGACCAATGAATCACCCTCTTTTTTTTCTTTTTTTATAACCCAAAAAGTATCATCGAAACCGGTTCAAAAATGTCAGTATAGTGGTCTAACATACAGACGAATTGAAAACCTTATCATTTTACGAGAGTCAAAAATCAAGGAATGAAAATAGACACTAAAACGCCGTATCCGTTCTTGTTTCAAACTTACTTTTCATTACTGACTAAGACGAATTAACTGCTTGTTAAGAGTCTATACTACCTTAGTTAGAATTAAAAATTTTCCCGTACTAATACGATTCATTATTGTATACTATACGTGTTCTAATTAGTTGATATAAAAAAAAATCATTTGTATATATGCAATGTACCTATTGAACACAACGGTTTTCTTGTAAAATTTCGAGCTAAGTTTGTGTTTATTTTCTATGGTGAAAATTTTTAGGTATCGTGTTTTCACACCGTATACTAATCAGCGTATATTTTTTCGAAAGTGATTGATTCAACATTCACTCTTATGCGGAACCCACCAAAGCCATTTGTATAGACTCAAGTGTTACGAGACAGGAAGGTTGTTTAAAAACAAAATGTTCGGAGGAAACCCCGTTTGCTTTGTGGTTCCTTATTATATAGTATTGCACATATCCTCACTATTAATACAATAGTGTAAAAAATAAGGAAGCTTTCAGAGTCGAAACCGCTAGATTGTTTTACTTCAGCTACTTTCACAGTCTAATGACATACGGCATTTTGCTTTGGGGTAATGCCGCCGATATCAATAGAATCTTTGTCCTGCAGAAACGTGCAGTTAGGGCAATTTACAATCTAGGCCCCAAAGTATCTTTGAGAGATAAGTTTAAGGAAATTAACATTCTTACGCTAGCCTCACAGTACATTTATGAAAATGTAATTTATGTTAAAAGGAATAGTAAAAAATCATTTAAGGGGCAATGTATACGCTTCTATAACAAGATTCCGGTTGATATACAAAATTTGCCTTTCACGAGGTTTAAAACTATAGTGAAACAAAAACTTTATACTAAAGGTTATTACACAACTTCTGCGCACTTGGATGACAAAAATCCGTGGTAGTAACCCGTTTAGCTTATGGAGGTAGTCTCGATCTCTGATGTTTCAAATAAAAAAGAAATATTGTAAATGTTATTTACAAAGAGCAACCCCTAGAGTTTCTTGCTCATTCTTCTCAGGGGAATCTGCCTTACGAATGAGCGGTAGAGTTTAACCATTGTGACGATTTCAAGTGTAATAATGCTTACCTATGAAATAAAGATTATTTTGAATTTGAATTTGAAGTGTATTAATTCAAAAAGTGTATTTTCTCCGAATCGACGAAAAACGCATCACTCGCTTCCCGTGAAAGATCTGTGCAAATTTATGTATAAGTTTATTTATTTATTTATTTATTTGCAAACAATGTCGGTACAAAAATTACATAGGTAAAAGTACATACATACCCCTTTGGGGTGCAGCAATTAAGTATTATTAAACTTATTAAAATTGTAAAAATAAAAATAATAATAACAATAACATTTAGGAACTAATACATATAGGAACTTAAAATTATCATTAATAAACTTAAGATCATAGTATTACATACACTTAAAATTACTTATCTGAAACTGGACTCTTTTAGCTTATAGGAGAGTTCATGAAGTCTCCCACATTGTAATAACATTTACTTAACAAGAGACCTCAACTTGGTTTTAAACACGTTAACACTCGTTCATTTCCTACTTGACAACTATACTATACTATATTTAATCAGTACTAAAAAAACCGACCCTGAAAGTACGTGGAATTACGTCTATTTGCTAAGTTTTATTGAAATATCCCCTAGTTCGCCACTATACAGGACTTGACACTGGAGATAACAAAAATCGGTTAATAGGAAAATAAACCATTAAAATAATTGCTCCTCAATTAAAGTTAGGCGCTATTTATAAAAATGAATCTTCATGCGTGAACAGCGACCCTTAGAGGTGGATGATGAAGTACCCCCTTTCCAACAAAAAAAAGAATCATGAAAATCGGTTCACAAATACCGAAGTTATCGCGTAACATACATACAAAAAAAAGAACATACAGTCGAATTGAGAACCTCCTCCTTTTTTGAAGTCGGTTAAAAATAAAAGATAAAAATAGTTTCATATTCTTGAATAAGGACTATTTTGACCAGGACTGGCCCACAATAGATATCTTTTAGTTGTTTTTTTTACAATATTCTAACGACTGTTTTATTGACGTGTATAGAATCAAATTTTGCGTTCAACAATGGTATAATATTGAATTTCATATATTTTGAGTTATAACACTATTTTAATATCAGTGCGATATTGTACCTTTCCTCACGAATTGTTTGCGTAACTACGTATATTGTATTTTAAAGACACGTATTATCTTGTTGTGCTTTCAAAAGTAAACATTCACTAACAATGCAATAATTCAAACTCAAACAACCTTTATTTTATACGTGAGGAAATTACACACGTCATCAATGTGACGATTCACATTGATTCAACTCTACTGTTCATTCGTAAGGCACGTTACTCTTGAGGAGAATGAGTAAGAAACTCTAGGGCATAGGCTCACCGCCCACCACGAAAAATAGTAATTGAAAACATGTATTTTTATATTAACTTAACACAAAAAATCACAAGGAAAAAAAATGTAGTGTTATTTAGTTAAATCTGTATAAAGCACAAATTCGATCGTGTATGGAGTACTGCTGCCACCTTTGGGACGGCTCTGCCCATTACCAGTTGGCTGCCTTGGACTCGGTGGAGCGAAAAGCAAAGAGCCTTATTAACAACAATTCTGTTGTGGAGTCGAAGCTACAAAATCTCGACCATCGCAGAAAAGTAGCCTCCTTGTCGGTTTTCTATTGGATACGTTTCGGGGAGTGAGCGCAGGAACTTTCCAATTTAGTTCCGCCCTCACCGTTCCTCCTTCGGTCGACTAGAAGGTCCGGAGCACTCCATTCTTATGTCGTTGATATTCCACCTATTCGCACTAAGCGCTTTGCTTCCTCCTTTCTGATGCGTACGTCAAAGGAATGGAATGCTCTACTAGAATGCGGCGTCTGTATTTCCCGAAAAGTACGAAAAACTGAAACGCCGCCCAATTGGTTCTGAAGCTCTACCCCTTAGGACTCTTCAGCGCCTACTGGAGGGTAGAGACCAGTTTGGACTGCTCTTTACATATAAACATTTGTACACATTATCTTTTCGGTGAAGGAAACCATCTTGATGCAACCTGCAAAGGTTCACAATTCTCAGTAAATGTGTCCTTTAAGTCCTTTAAGAGTCAAAGTCAAATAATAATTTATTCCATAGGTAATATTTTAACTGATTTCAAAGACGGAGGAGGTTCTCATTTCGACTCTGTTTTTTTTTTAATGTATGTTACGCGATAACTCAGTTGCGATTTTGATGATTCTTTTTGAGAGGAAAGAGGTTAGCTCAGCAGTGGTCCCATTCAAATTTGAAGAAAAAATTCCACCTGTAAGAATGGGAAATTAGGGAATGAATCCGTTTTCGCGCACTTTTTTTAAATAAAAAGTTATAACTATTGCATAAACGTTACAGTCTAGTGTTGATATGGTGTATGTGTGAGACATTGTACGCACGGCTTGCACTGCCAGCTCAAATTAAATTTAGTAAACAAGGCCATGAATAGGCGTATCAGATGCTTCCAACTCGGGGCTGTCTGAATATTCTAGCAAGGTGCTACCAATCCGTAGTTACGTCTTGCATGAACTCATTTTATAATTTCTCGCATAATCCATCCATTTTTAACAGATTAAAAAAAAACACGGAAGTGCTCAATTCCACTGTATTTTTTTGGTGTCTGTGTTACGCGATCACTTTGATATTTGTGAACCAAATTCGATGATTATTTGTTTATTGGAAAGCGGGTACCTCAGTGGTCCTATTCAAAGATCGAAGAAACTATTCCACCTGAGAGTGGTAACAGCCACCTTAAACATTTTTTACAGCACTTCCACCTTACCCGCCAAGCACTAATATAAGCATTACTGCGTTTCGGTTTTGAAGGGTTAAGGGTGCTGGTGAAATTACAGGCACATGAGACTTGTCAACTTATGTCTCAGGGTGACGGGCGCAGTGGCAGTGCCCCTCAGATCTTTGCGATTTAAAGCTCTGAGCGGCACTGCAACTGTTATGAATAGGCGTGTCGCATACCACCAGACCCACGTCCCGTCACTTGATCATAAAAAAAATTAATAAAATTTTTATCAAAAAGTTATCATTATTTCCAACGTCTTCATCTCGCTCATTCACATAATATGATTCCCTTATCTCGTTATATTTGTAGTAAATATAAATATTGTTAGTAATTTAATACGACAAATATGTAATTGTAATTATTAACTGTGTGTTCATTTAACCTTGTAACTAAAATAAACATGGTATCTGAACGTTATTTGATTGCGCGATTAAACTAGGGCTGTAATTTTGCTTTTGTTTTGAATCTTCGGGATCCCACGGCTCTCACAACACTTGGCCATGAGGGTAAGCCGAGGGGGTTTTAGTGGGTATTGCTCTCAAATGGGGGTGTTAGTCCCACGTAACCCCTGAACCACCCCGAGCTCAAGGTCTATATATTTAGTTGCCATTTTCGTATAACTATGATCGGTTACCTATCAGTAGTTTTTTAGTTTTCATATCCTCGAAAATAATTTTGAGAGGAAAGTGTTTCTTTCTTTTAAACCTAACCGAACCGAACCTAATCGTGTCTTTGCGATAAACATCCAACATGTGCTGAAAGAACAACGGCTTCGTTATAATTCGGTTTTCGGTGTAATGAAAATTCGAACAAACGTTACTTCGGAAAAAAAAATTCGAGTTTGTGATAGGTTACCACTATGATCATGTGGGTTGACATCATGTAGAGTCTAGACCGACGCGAATGTATTTTTGAAAACAACTTTATGAAATTGTATACGAACAGCATCTATTTATAACATAATAAAAAATCCGCACTCTTGTTTTACAGGCCCATCCACCTGGCGGTAATGAACAACGACACAGACGTTTTGCGAAGACAGTGCCTCGTCCTGAAAAACCGGAATGAGTCCATTGACATCACAGCTGGTAACCTGGTAAGTAAATTTTTATGTCATTGTGTATTCTCGTCGATGACAAAAAGACATAGCCGAGTCGCGATCTTTTACCGAAAGCACGGACAGCACTATTGGAGTTATTCACATCTGATCCCCTCTGCAGGGGATCAAGAATACGTATTAATATTTTATTCCCCTTTGATACCCTGGTGCTTTGAAGCATAGTAGCAGTAGAGGTCCTTGTGAAAGAGTTCGTCCAGGGAAATACTGCCACTTTACCAATTTCTGCCGCCAAGCAGTAATGTGAGCTAAGGGTGCTGGCTACATTACAGGCACGTGGGACTTGTCAACATATGTCGCAGGGTGACAGGCGCAGAAGCAGTGCCTTTCAGGTCTTTGCAATTTAAAGCCCTGAATGGCACAACAACTGTAATAGACAGGCGTGTCGTTTACCACGACTTGTTCGTCCCGACCATCAAGTATGTAACCAGAAATAAGAAACGAAATGACATTTAATTTGTTTGAAAATTATTCTGCCAAATCATCACGGTGACAACTGCGCTCCGATTGCCCGCTAGCCCGAATTCGAAACAATTGACGGGTGTCGTCAACTGTTTCACTTCAAAACGACCAGACTCTTGACCCTGTACACACAGGTCAGTTGTTGGCGCTGTACTTTTTCAGTTTTCTAATTTGTGATGTACTCGATGGTACCGTCACTTGGAATCACAAAAAAATCATTTAAAATTAGTAAAATCGAGGCCCTGTAGTTAGAATCGTTGCAGCAACGATTTCTGCTGTTTGCATTAACATTTAGCTTGCCGTCTGTCATATTAAACATTTTTCACAAACAAACAAATTATTGTTCAACTATTTACCATGGTAGCAACAAATTAGTAATCTATTAAGAACATTGTAATGTTGTACGTAAGTGTGTTGAACATGTTTCAAGGGTCCTGGTGAAATTACAGGCACATGGGACTTGTCAACTTATGTCTCAGGGTGACGGGCGCAGTGGCAGTGCCCCTCAGATCTTTGCAATTTAAAGCTCTGAGTGGCACTCTAACTGTTATGGACAGGCGTGTATCTTACCATCACGCGTACGCCTTGTTCGTCCCGTCACTTGATTTTATAAAACTACACGTTTAAAAAACTAATTGCGCATTTGCTATTATGTTGCTTAAAGTACAAATTATTTACTAAACCTGTGTTATAAATGACTTTTGTTATTTACAACTTTGTCATCAAATTCAGTTAAGAGTGTAAACAACCTCAATTGTATTTGGTCGATTCCGCATAAAGGTGCATTTAGTCGACACGATTTTCGTCGCGCTCACGCCGCGCGGACACCGCGTTGTTGTTGACTGTATCTGACTGTCATGGCAAAGTACGCTCTATTTATTAGTTTTTACGTTTTAACTTAAATGAGCTTCGAACCACAAAGTACATCCAAGCTCACGAAATAAATGTAAGCCATACAAATGTTTCTCCCGGCCCGGGAATTGAACCCGGGACCTGAGTGGCAGACCAGCATAAAATAATTTGGATTAGAAGCGCTTTATCCTCGGCCTTCTCTATTTGGCTTTAACATGCACGAACTAGAAGAGCTTATATAAGGACGATTCGTTTGACGAAGCATCGTGTTATAATGCTCAGTTAGTCTAGACCTACGATTCCCAAAGTGGTCCATATCGACCCCCCAGGGGTCCATTCCAACCAACAAGGGGTCCATGTCCCCCAAGCAAATATTACACAACAAACAAGCCTATTGCCTATTTTTCTTTTATATTATTCATTATACATTTAAATTTCTCAAGAAGACGCACTGTTAAAACCATAGATTTAGTATATAGGTACCCATAGATTGGCAATGCAAGTGAAAGAGCGTTAGTATACACGTATGTTAGAGCGAGATGGGTAGACGAGACCACTTCATTATACGCTATGAGCCTGTATGAACCTAGGGTCAGCTGACAACGAAACAAATTTCGTTTATTTTTGAAAAAATAATTGGTTTTAAAATGTGAATAGTGTTAAACGGACGTTTATTAGTCATGGCAACGTGTTCAGTGCCCGGATGTAACTCATCTAAAAAGGAAAACTCGCAGAATTGTATCAATCTATGGACCAACTTTACACTGGGATCGTACAGTGCCTTACGAGTCCAATATAATAACACCTTCAGGGCCTTGTTGAGGCTCCCCCGTTTCTGCCGTGCATCTCCAATGTTCGCAGATACTGCTGTGGACGATTTCTATGCTATCATGCGTAAAATGTCCACATCAATACTGCCGTCCGTATCAAAAACAACGTAATCGACATTTTTAGCGAAATTGAGTTATTAACATGTCTGGAATCAGCGAAACGGTATCTGACCTCTTGAAAGCGGATTTTTTTATATCTTATTAAGTTTCAGTTGAATTCTTGAGCAAAATTAGTGTAATGGACATTTTGTAAAGAAAAAATATTTTAGGTGGCAATACGTCGAAATTGACCTAAATACAAATGCGTTGTTTATGACTAGGAGGGCAGAATAGTACGAAGAATGAGGGGTAGTAGCAACGAGATCCGGAAGATGATAGCAGACAGGATGGATGCAGCACTGTTCCGGAGGTTCACTGACTACATATATTACGTGTTAGTGAGCCGACCGAGGGGCTGGATTCGCCCGTTTGATATTATATAATTTGTCAGCCTGTTTGACAAATAAATTAGTTTATTATTAATATATACTATAGGCATTATGTAGATGGGCAAGCTCAGTCGTCGACCTTATCGTCACTTATTTCATTAATAAGAAAAATGTATTTGTTAGCCGTACGTTATATTATTTAGTTAAATGGAACGACCGAGATAATAACCGTCGTGTGCGCAATGCGTTTTTTTTATCTCGTTTGTTATATAACTATTTGTTTGGTGATTAGATGGTGCACAATATTAAAGTAGGTGTTCGTGATTGATAACTTCCGCTGGCCGTCCGTCGGTTGATGTGGGCGTTAGAGGTCCCTGGTTCAATTCCCGGTGGTACCGGTTTTGGAAAACGTACGATTCTACAGCCTTATGTAACCATAGATTATTCACAAGTCTATATTTGATTACTGACCTCACTTTTGAACTAATATTTTTCAAATAAGATTGGAATATGTTATTCAAATGAATATTGCTGGAAATAGAGATGATATATCAAGTCGAAGTCTTCAAAATATACATGAAAGTGTTACTTATTCCATTTATTGAGTGATTGCTTTTTGTTTACTTTTCTGGCATAATGGATTAGAACAGACTCTGCCCTGCTGTCTTTTGAACTGCGTAGAGTTAATTGAACGTATGTTTTAAATAATATACGCGTTGATTAGTGTTGTATACGTGACGCCTCGCGTCCTTAAAAAGGATAAACATTGTACCAACCAATCAGTTCATTTACCATCGGGCAATCTATCAATCAAACTAGGTAATTTCCTGTACGATAACTGCAGGGGACTCTACCGTAATAGAATTATTAGTTTTTTATCTTTGATAAGTGGCGTTCTTGACACTTTTATGTCTTGTGCATCAAGTGTGCACTATTAATAAAATAAATAGTGCTTCACTCATGACTGATTACATGAGTAATCAGAATTAATGGAGTTAATCTACCTAAAATATGAAGTTTTCTTGGTACAGACCAGGGGTCGGCAACCTGCGGCTCTTTCGATGTGAAGTTGCAGCTATTTAGTTCCATATGCAAGTGTTCCCTTGCATGAATATAAAAAGTAAAGTAAGAAGACAACTAACAAATGGAAATCTAGAGTCGTGTTTGAAACTTAAAATAATCTTAGTACTGAGTACTAAAAAACCGACCTCAAAAGTAGTTTGCCACTCTTAGAGGTGGAATATTTTCTTCTAATTTAAATGCGACCACATTTGAGGTACCCTCTTTTTGACAAAAGAAGAATCATCAAAATCTGTCCACGAATGCCGAGTTATACAGTCGAATTGAGAACATTCTCCTTGTTTTGAAGTCGGTAACAACTAGTTATGAGCCAAATTTATCCAAACTTTCAAAAGGCCTGCAAAACCAATGCTCAATTGATTTACTCATTGACTTACAATTATATGGACGTCGGGTCCGCGCTAAAA